TGGCCCCAAGTGCGAAAAATCCAAGCTGCTGTCATTTCCTTCCTTGCGTAAGAAAATGGCAAAACTGTAGGACTAGAAGCAGAAGTTAAGCTGTTATAACACAAGAGGCTTGGAGATGTATCACCAACCAAACGGGTTTGGTGTGTGGCAACATAAGCAGTCAGTGCTTACGCTTTGGACAGCTGAACTATTACCATAATATGTAATGTAACTGGAGAGACAGCAAAGCCATCCCACACAGAAAGAATGAGGTTAAGATAAACTGTTCCTGGGATCCCAAACACAAGTTTTACACTAACACTTGCCATTTAGACAAACCACAAGAGAATGCAAAATGGACCAAGGAAGTAAACCTATGTAGAACATCCCAAGCAGGATGTCTTTGTACGCTGCCGCATCACGACAAGTGCCTTGTATGCCATATAATATTAACAATTCATTTTGATGCCCTTTATAAAACGTATGTGGACTTAGACTTCTTTCAAAAGGTACAGTACTCATATCTTTGCATAAAAAAATGGCATCCACATTTACAACCAAGACGCTTTCCATATCCACACACAGAGACAAGCTTGTTTTGTTTTTCAGGTAGAATGGGGATCCACAAAAAAATGTAATGACAACTTAGCTGTAATAAAACATGGCTCCTGAATGTGGATAAATGATTTGAATAAGCAAATACACATGGTAATGCTAAAGGTAAATGCACGCACAACACATTGAGATCAGAGTGTAATCGATCAGCCGGATGACATTTGGAGGCGGACAGGCTCGCGCTGCGATTGGTTCTCAGCTAGGTGTAAATGCGATCTGTACAGCATGACCACATTCTCAACAAAAAAACATCACTCCCACAAGGTAAAATATCACCTGCCACTTTTTATCAAAAAAGCCCAACAAGAGCTACAGGTAGTGCTGCAATGGTAAAAAAAAAAAAAAAAAAAGAGAGAGAGAGAAAGAAAGAAAGAAAGCCCACACAACAACATTGCTTCATGCAACCTTTGAGCGCAATGTTTGTTGACAAGTCAGCCAGCCCCGCCTAACTAATTGAGATCAAATTAAATTGTGAGCACAGCTGAGATAATGAGGATGCATTTTTCTCAACCAGGTGTACCTGCAACGACCAGAGCAGATGTCATTGTCCAGGAAACAGCCCCAGATTACGTGTGAATACAGGGAGTAAACTGGGTATTACACTTGCAACTCAGCTTTTGAGAGTCATACATTATGTAATGATTACTGTGAATGTGACAAAACAGGCTAACACAGCTAAAAATGACACTGTAGTTCTTGTCAAATATTACAGATGTTATATATATACATTTTACAAGAACAGAATCAAGACTGCTTCAGTTCAGTGTCTATGCTGACTTTGACATGGATAAGGAAAATTCTAAAGCCCTGAGCTGCCACAGTATCTCATGACCTGCTCCTAAACACTGGCTAGGATTGTAAAGAAACACCTCATTAGTGATTGTGTGAATCTATGCATTACTGGGACCTATAGGGTAATTACAGCTGAGCGAACGTATAACAAAGTACCGCACAGACAAAACAAGCAGTCAGCTAACCCTGTTCAACCCGTCTGCTAACCATGGGATGACAAAGCATGGGACGTACAGTGCGCACATATATCGAGGCTGTGGGGATACCAGTTTGTTTCCTTGTTCCTGAAAGCTTCTCATCTGGTCTTGAAGTTATTTCTTCAGAGATTAACTGACATGTAAGGCATGTGATACAGTCCCTGTATTAGAAGTGTTAGAAAAAAAAAACATTACAACACGAACAAGTGTAGCAACACCAGTGTAGAAATGGCCTCCTCATCTGTTCAAAGTGTAAATGTTTAGCTGGTGTAGGCAAAAGTAGATAGCGACAGTATGGTTCTGGGCGTGTAAGCGCAGTAATTCGGCTGATTGAGATAATCTGCTAACATTTTGCTGACTGCAACGTACAACAGTTAAAGTTCAAACTGTTTCACTCAAATTATTCGACAATTGGAAACTACATGCACTACAATGAAGCGAAAACATCATAGAAATCAGTTATTAGTATAAAACACAGTATCATGCACATTTTTGTTATCATCCTATAATTGCGCTTACATGGAAAGAGTAGACAACTATAAGGATTTGCATTTATATTAATCATTTACATTGCCAGCCAAACACATCCAAATGACCAAAAGTAATTTGAGAATCATCCGTTTGTTGTGCTTGGATTAAAAGTAATTGCAAGCTTAATTTTTTTGAAATGGTCACGACTGTGTGTGGGAGTAGGAGATTCCTGAAAGCTGAACAAAAACAAAACAAAAGAAACACACACGAGAAGGAGAACAACAGCTTTAAACGCTCATCTCTCTTTCAAGTAGTCTGCTGCCGAGTACAGAAAGACAAAAGATCCATCATACTTAACATCGCAACTAAAGCTTTGGTAAAACTGTTTGTGTGGTATTCACGGCAATGAAGCAACAAGCGGGGGGAAACAAAAAAAACTGGTTTCATGATAAAACCAAAAGAGTTTCATTTATTCTTAACAGACACGTAGAGCGTTTGGCCACCAGAAAAGCAGGTTCTTCTGCACAGTGGCTTACTTCTTGTGTGCAGAGCCTTTACAGCAGAGTTTCCTGTTTAACTTGCCAGCTTCCTTATAAAGGTCCTTATTTACAGAGACCCAGTCGTTATATTCTGTGAAAGTGCTGCGAGAGAGATTCACAGCAAAAGTCAGCAGCTAATAAACAGTAGCATTTTGTTGCCAGTGGCTCTACCAGAGTTATTCATCAGCGCTTTTCAAACTCTGTGCTGCCAACACCTGCATTTACTACAGAAAGAATGTACATCCAGCATGGACACAAGAGGAGCACTCCACGCTCAAAGCATCGTCCTTCAGGCTGATGTACATTGTTTCGGCTTTTCTAGTTTTCCTGAGTGAACTCTCCTCATCTGCTCTCTTAGTAATTTGTTTGTCCTCCAGCAGGGAGTATACAAAGACAAGTGGGCCAACTGGATGAACCGTTATTTTCCGCTCATCCGTATAGGCGACAAAGTCACAAACTTGATGTACATATTATCTTCCTCTTGCAAATCAACACTGTACACTCCTCCTCTGCATCCTGCTCTGTCAGAACAGGTGTGTGGATATGTGCTCTCCAGCTTATGCAGAAAGAGCATTTGCCTTGTATGCAGGTGTATAGAGCTGTAACTGATAGTTATCTTATTTTACATTTTTTTCAGTCACCCATTTCCTAATAATTAGTCATGTATGAACATCAGAAATAGTGGATAGTGTCCATCACAATTTCCCACACCAAAGTGGTCATCTCCACATTGCTTGCTTTGTCCCATCAACAATCCAAACTGCAAAGATGTTTTATTTACTATCCTATAAAATGCCTACAGTGCAACAACCAACAAGTGTTGGCAAAACAACAAATCGGTCATCAGAACAGTTTCCGATGCCAGCAAACTGATTGTTCAGTGAACTGTTTCAGCTCTACACATGTGCAGTATTTAGCATTTGTGGGACAGAGGCTCTCTCCTGACAAACCACCGCTTAAAGACATGAAGCACAATGTCGATGGTGTTACAAAGGACAAAAGAAGGAGATGACGAGAGGGTCGAAGACAATAAGCAGACGTCCTTAAACAGGGATGGAAGGAAGTTTGTCTAACATGGGGTTAGACAAACTGAATGACAACCACTGCTTACATGTGGAAGGGCTTTATCTGGGGGAAGGGACTGAAGCTGAGCAGAGTCCACACCTGCAGTAAGCAGAGAAGGACCAGATGGGACAGATAAGAATGATTCAGAATTTAAGTAGGCAACCTCGAGCTAGAAATAGTGTCTTTTATATAGTTTCTCAGGCTTTTTTTTTTTTTAGCCCATTTCCTATTATAATAATACTGCATTGTAACAGAGCAGGAATTCTCTTGGCCACTGTAAAACCATGAGAAGACCTTGCTTCTTTCATTGTTGCTATACAGCTAAGACACAAAATAATGCATCATATATCACCAACAGGTAGTACTGAATGAGTATGCGTTATCAATTGAAAAATCACAGATAGCAATTGTCAATCAATACAGGCCTAATAACAGCCGATACACATCTATTCATAGCTTGCAGAGCCAAAAGATGCAGCACAGCACCCACTCACGCCTACATATGGCGGGCCAGCATAATCACAGAAACCACGCTTCTTTTCATCGCCTACAAGAGCATCATGCCATCCCTGCCAAATGATTCCTTGTCATCTCCACACAAGAATTTTGTTAGGTTCAGCTCAGTAATCATCCCTCAGTCCAGCTCCTTCAGTATTCCTCATCCTCTTAGTCACTCTCTTGGGTACTCGTGTTTCTATCAGTCTACATCAGCTGTGTAAATCATCGGATTTTATTCCACATCTGCTCGTATTTCATTGATCCCTGTTTATTTTAAGCCTTTCTGCATGAGGATAAACAAAAAAGGTTGACATTGTTTTTATTCACAGCATTATTTCTCACTAGCAACACGCAGCTGTCAACCAAAACATAAACAGGGAGTTGCTATTAACGTGACTCCTTCCTCACGGTTTACACAGCTGACAGCTTAATGTATGACTGGCAATATTTGGAGGAAAAATTACGAGAAATCTTGAGGCTAGAGTTATAATTAGGCACTGCATGGGATGATTTTTACAGTTTCTGGCTACAATATTTATACATGTTGCTTCCTCTCCCCCTTAAAATGTCATCATTTCAAGTGTTCATTTGCTTGTGGGAAAGTTCAGCAGGATGAACTCACCATTCTCAGAGTGTTTCTCAAACTTTCTGAGTTTGTGGCACATAGGAAATACACTTGCGAGGCTTACGTTTCCGCTCTTAAGTATATCAATTATAGGGTCTGTGTCCTATGCAGCTGGTCTAATACCACTGCATTTATCGTTACTTATTGATTTCTTTATCCCTCCTCTCCTGTACAGGTTCTACCCTCTCCCTTTCATTCATCATCATCATCTCTCCTTACCGTGACCGAAGTGCCTGCCAGGCAGCATCTACATCAGCATACAGGTTCTTCTCCGAAGGTTTCCCAGAACTGGCGCCGTAACCCGAGTAGTCGTACGAGAAGACGTTGCAGTTGATTCGTGAACCCAGGCCAATGTAGAAGCTGCTCATCTGCCCCAAGTCCACTGCATTGCCATGGGAGAACAGTAGAGTGTACCGGGCGCTGGGTGAGCAACGGACAAACATGCAGGCAATGCGGTTCCCTCTTGAGGTGCGTGTCATGAAACACTCGATGGCATCTTTTTCCCGGGCTGAGTACTGCCAGTCAGCACGCTCAGAGAGATGCAGCGTCCATCTGCTGCCACTCTCATCACACATGAGGCTGTAGGTCGGCTCTGGGGGCAGGAAGGCCAGCTTGGAGGCGATCTTGCTGGGGCAGGGCGGACAGCAGAACAGGCAACATAGCTCGCTGAGGGATAAGTGGTTCATCCTTAAAACACTGTGACAAGGAGAGTAAGAATGATTAAAACGAAAGCATACATTTAATCAGCAGATGAAATATAACAAATGTTTGTGAAAACGAAAAATGTGTAAACAGTTAACAGAGAAAACAGATAAAACTTATTCAAACAAGACCATCTGGGCAACTGAAACACTAATTTACCATTGCATCCCCTACAGATATTCACAAGGAAAAATACCACAAGAGCAAATTCGTGCCACGGGGCTCTTGAATGATGTTCTCGCTCTATAAACTGTTGTCTTTGTTAAGTGGAAAAGCAGGGGGTTTCCGGGGCTGCGGGCCAAAGCCAGGCTTCTGTCCTTTCTTTATTTTTTTTTATACACTAACAATTCCCCTCTCCAGAGCGCATGGCTCTTTTTAGCCAGGCTTCTAATAAAGATATAGTCCCTGACCCTGTTGGAGTGCCTGCACTCTGTCTGCCTCAAGGCTCCACAATCACTCACACAGTATTGACCTAAAAGACTTTTTTTGTTTCGCACTGCACCTGGACCCCCACCCAAGGCTAGCTCTTAGATATTCAAGGTGTGCTTAAATTGCAGTTGCCTGCAGTAGAGATGTCAGCAGAGCTCTTTTCAGTGACACATAAGATGGCTGTTCAAAAATGTCCTCCAGGAATGCCATTTCTCAAGTCATTCTCAAAATTGACTCAGGTGACAAGGGTACTTTGTAATGGGACTCCCTTTAACTGCACATGCTTTCTGAATGGAGAGCAAGGGCTCGTTAATGTCAGGTCATGACAATGTGTCGAGGATTGTATTTCCAATAAAGATGCTAGAAGGAAGATCTTACATTACTTGTTGTTACAACTTTGCAGGTACAGCGCTGAGTCTATGTAAATATGAAAGTATCACAATGGGACATGGACATATGAAGCCATTGCTGTGTAACATCAGGAATCTCTATCTTCCTGGTAAGCAAACTTTGTCCATAAAGCTGTTCTTTATGTTGGGATACACTGGCATGTTGCCCATTTCTTTTCTCTTTTTTTGGCCTCTACAAGGCTTGCACATCCTGCTGCAGAGAAGCATGATTTTTTTTAAACAGGGACTTGCTCCTGTGAAACTATGAACAACAAAGCAGCTAAGCAACAAATGCCTGTCAGCCATGTCATCAAGAGAACCCAAGAAACACAGATTTGCCACTGGCCTCTCAGAAGCCTCTCTTGCCAGCCTTACTTTCAAATCTGTCCTTCGCAGAACTAAAGCTGTTTTCAGAGAAAGCCCTGATTGGCAGTTTTCAACAGAAAGAGCTCCTTGATCTTCATGATACAGTTTAAAACTCGCAAGACAGCTGTTGGACCTTCCAGATACACCTGTCTTAACCCTAAAAATGACTAGTGGCACCTCGATTGGACACACAAGTCAACTACTGTGTGCCACTATATAAACAATTTGCAGTATCATACATGACTTAGGGTGAGTGCTTTTTAAAGTCACTTGCAGTCTAGGAATGCCATTTCTGCAAGATGCTGTGACATCAAAAGGGAGCAGCAAAATGCACAGTGGAGCCTATTTGCTTGCCATAATCCCCCAAATAGTCCATCATCTCCCAGACTTGAAGACAGAATGGAGCCTTGCAGCGCTTTACAGTAAAATGGTGGTAGATGTAGCAACGTGTTCAGGGAGATTACACTGATTCTGGGCTGGTTTGTGAGGGTTTAATTTCCTAGTGGTTCAATTTACTGCCAAGCGTGGTGGGCCAATTAAGCAGCAACACAAGTGTGCGTGTGTCCCTCGTCAAAACTAAGTGGAGAAATGATCCCGGCATTACCTGCACGGCGGCTGGACGCTTGTTTGGTTTCTGTTTTTTTTTTTTTTCTCCTCTTTCTTTTCTTTTTTTTTAAGGTGACAGTGCTGGCCAACGTCGCCGTAGTCTGGCGTTATCTTCACAACAACTTATCTTCTTCTCGATGCCAGGAGATTGTCCAGGTTATCCTTGGCCAGATTATCCTTCTGTTCCGTGTCCTATTTGTCAGCTATGTCACGTTGAGTGTGAATATCCCTCTTGGCACAGCAGCTCTGAGTTACTATTAGCTAGCCACTTCGTCCTCCGGTCCAGACAGCCTCCTAAACTGCCGTTTCCTTGTTTTCTTCCCCTCGGGTTCCTCAACATATGGTCCGGAATGATAACGAGATGGACTCATTCAAAATGTTTAAGTCTGTACAGCTCGACGGCAACATGGGTAGATACAAAACAAGTCTGAAATCCTCGCTAAATGTCTCCGTGGTGGTTTGCCAAACAGTTCACGACCGTCTCACTTGCCTCCGGAACATCACCGCTTTCGTTGTGTGAATATCGCTCTGCTTGTTATCTTGGCTTCTAAGGAAGGAGAGGCGTTGATTGACAGCTATGTAGACCAATAGCAAAGAGGTTTATGAAACCAGTCGACCAATGACAGGGGGCATGGGTATCTATGGGTGGACCTTGGCGACGCCGCAAAGTGAGGGCCTTCTGTTTTGATTGACATCTGATCCAACCAATAGGAGATTACAATTGAGAGGCGCAGTCCAATCAGCGCCGACGGATATGTTTTTAATGTTTAGTATGTGACAAAAAATGTTTGATTAGACGTATTTTAAAATTGAAAACAATGTTTAGAACTTTTTTCTATTTTTATCCCGATAAACACAGACTTGTTTTATTTATTTCAAGCATTTTAAATGAAATGTTTCGACCTTAATGACGTCGCCTTACGTTCTCGTACTTTTTCCGGGGCAGTGCAGTGGCCGGCATGCTTCCTGTGTTGGTGTATCCACATAGCGTGTGTAGCTAAACGGCTAAACAAGATGAGTTCTCAGAAAGGTAATGTTTCGCGATCGCGACGCCAGAAGCATCAAAACACGACGGCCTACAGAAACGACAAGTACGGAGCGAATGCACAAGTAAAGGTGTGTGAACTTTAGTGTACTATGTCATGTGTTGCTGAGCCGAGCTCGACTCAGGAGCTCTGATGTTATTAATCAAATGTATATTCTGTCATAAAGTTAGTATTTCTTCATGTTTAGAGAAGAGGTTGTGGTTGTCGGGTAAAGCAGAACAATATTGCTGTAACACAGGTTAAAACAGTTTATGAAAACAAGTTTTAAAATACTACGGAGTCCGGAAGGGGTCATGGGGGGGAACTTTTGACTGACTACTTTTGCGTCCTTTTGCAATATTAGCTCTTTTTTTCCTCAGAATTAACGCTGAAGATACAGTCTTTGAAAAGGAACTTTAAAATTGACAATTTGGTTTGATCTTCGTCATTTTGGTGTAATAATTCCACCTATTTTCTTGTAATTGAATACATTTATGTTTAAACTTACAATGTATTAAAACTGTAAAAATGCCAAAATTCACACTAGATGGCTAAAGATAATTATTTGAGCCGCCATTATTTTGTGCATAAGCTCTTTGCATAACGTTAGTAAATAATTCTAGTTAAATTAGCACTCAATAATGCCTAAAAGTTGAAATGAAATTAAAAAAAGAGGGATACACTGAGAGAGAGACATTGCTAACCAGCTTGGCGACCGCAGAACAGCTGCTCACTTCAAGATTAAGATGAAAAAACTATGTGGCTCCACCAAAAACCGCAAAGGAAGTGGCAGAAATCAGTGAAAGGAAGTAACTGACTATCGTGACCACTCAGTGGTTTGCTGGGAAACGTTGGATCCTGGCATTCATATGGATGTCACTTTGACATGTACCACCAAGGACAATGTCCCCCACCCCCAACTCTACAAAAACTACTTAGGAACCACCCGAGGAGCATGCCAAAGAGCCCAAAGCATTGATCCAGCCTCCACATTCCCCAGATCCCCATTGACTGAGCGTCTGTGGGCTTTGCCAGAACAAACCCAATCAGCGTAGGCCTCGTCCAGAAACCCACAGCAGCCAAACAATACACTGCCAACATCCCAGTGCCAGACACCATAGGGCAGCCTCATAGTTCTCACATGCATGCTTCAGAGCTGTCTCGATGGCACAAAGGGGGACCTACGCATTTATAGGCAGGCGCACGGACTGCACAGAATGCAAAAGACCTCAAAGGAGGCATATACTTTTTGATTTTTGCCAGTTTCCTTCAAAACCTGCTCTTGTTCTGTCAAAGCCATGTAGTTACAATATTAATACAACATTTCGGCCGTGTTTCTGATTATGTGATCTTACTTCTAGAAAGCAAATTCAAAGATCCATGATGGGCTTTGTCAACGCTGTAAGGAAGTTCTCGAGTGGAAAGTCAAATACAATAAATACAAGACACTGACACAGCCCAAAAAATGGTGAGTACACTTGGGTACTGCAGACACTGACTTCAGTAGATAAATGAACTTTAACTGCTGCAGCTGCTCATGAATTTCCACCTCCTAGGAAATCTAAACTGTTACAGTAAATAAAGCAAGTTGTATATGTGCAGGAAAGTGTTGTGATCCAATCTGGTGTGAAAGATGATTACACTTGTGTGTATGTGTTTCTTTTTACAGTGTCAAATGCTCTCAAAAGACAGTGAAAGATGCGTACCACATTATTTGCAAGCCGTGTTCTCTTCAGCTTGAGATATGCTGCAAGTGTGGGAAAAAAGAGGACATTGTTATTCCGTAAGTAAAGATATCATTTTGAGTTTGGTTACTATTGAGAAAAGCTGTCTACATTTGATGCAGCTTATTTTATGGCAGTTTAGCATCCCAGTTCTTTGTATGAGGACAAGCTGAGTATTTTTAATCACTAACAAGCAAATGCAAGGCTGCCACCTTGTGGACAATAAAACACATTACAACTGATACTTGGAAATTCATTGACAGCATTTTTGCTTCAGTCTGTACATATTTAGTTTATGGCCCTCACGCAAATTTTTGTATTTCACATTTATGGTATTCATGTATTCCTAGATGTCAGTCTGTTTATTTCTTCCGGGACAATAAGATATTCAAAACAGAGCCTGCAGTTGTATTTTTTTTTTTGCTATTGTAAAAGAAAAAATGGTTATTAAAAAAATGTTCTCACTGTGTAGGGTAAACTCACATCTGGACAGTAAGGAGCAGGAAGAACATGACCAGAGCAAGAAAATACGTGGACGAGGAAAGAAAGACGCGGATGACTTGGACAGTGATGATGATTTTGATGATGATGATGATGACTTTGGTGACCTTGACGATGAGGAAGATGAAGACTTTGACAGTGAAGCAGGACCAAAAAAGACACAGAGCAAACCTGCTGTGCTCCCAGATGTGTCTCGAGTTAATGTTAAAGATTGAAGACAGTGTGAGGCTTTTTTGAAATCTGGTATAAAATGTGTTTTCTTACCAAAGTTCAGTATGAAATTTGCGATGTGATGACTTTCAAATGCAAATGAACTGATGTTGCTGGTTTGACGCAGAACCTGGAAGAAGAATTAAGGCCAACATCCAAGAAACTGAGTGGACGAAAGCTCCCAGATGATTTTAGATAGTTGTACATCATTTGCCTAAATAGCCTGAAGTAATGTACATTTTACACTGTCATAAATTACTCTGGAATATTTAGCCTGTCGTTCACTCTTATGTTTCTTATTAATGCTCAGTTTCCAAATTATCAGGTATCTGTATGTGAGTCTAATGCAACAGCTGTGCAATGATGCAATGATGTTGTTTAACTAAACAGAGATGTTAATATTTTGTTTATTTATATTACAAAATATTAGAAACATAATTCAGTATTTTAAGAAAAAAATGCCATTTTGTAATTCAGTAGCAACAGTTCTAAGCATGTTTCTTGTGCCTTTTTATTTATTACTTTCTTTAAAAGTCAGAAGTTTACATACGTTTCCTTAGTATTTGGTGGCATTGCCTTTAAACTGTATGACTTGGGTCAAATGCTTTGGGTTTCCTTCCACAAGCTATTCATAATAGTTTGCTGGTGTTCTGGCCCATTCCTCCTGACAGAACTGGTGTAACTGAGTCAGGTTTGTTTGCCGTCTTGCTCCACACGCCTTTTCATCTCTGCCCAGAAATTTTCTCCAGGATTGAGATCAGGGCTTTATGATGGCCACTCCAAAACATTGACTTGTCTTGAGGCGACTTTGTAGCTAATTTGGCAGTTTGCTTATGGTCATTGTCCATTTGGAAGACCCATTTGTGCTCAATCTTTAACTTCCTGGCTGATGTCTTGAGATGTTGCTTCAATATTTCCACATAATGTTCTTTCCTCATGATGTCATCTAGTTTGTGAAGTGCACCAGTCCCTCCTGCAGTAAAACACCCCCACAACATGATGCTGCCACCTCCGTACTTCACAGTTGGGATGGTGTTCTCAGGCTCGCAAGTTTCCCCCTTCTTCCTCCAAATGTTACGATGGTCATTGTGGCCAAACAGTTTAGTTTGTCCCTGTGTGCATTTGCAACTTTAATCTGGATTTTTTATGTTGCTTTTGGAGTAATGTCTTCTTCCTCTCTGAGTATCCTTTCAGTCCATGTTAGTACAGGACTGGTTTCACTGTGGATAATGACACTCTCTGACCAGCTTCAGCAGCATCTTCACAAGGTCTTTTGCTTTTGTTCTGGGGTTGATACTCACATTTCTCACCAAAACACTTCATTTCTGGGACACAGAACCGTCTCCTTCCTGAGCGGCATGATGGCTGGACATTCCCATGGTGTTTATACTTGTGTGTAATTGTTTGAACAGATAAACGTGGAACCTTCAGGCACTGGAGATTGTACCCAAGGATGAACCAGACTTGTGGAGGTTCACAATTCTCTTCCTGATATCTTGGCTGATTTCTTTAGATTTTCCATGTTGTCACAAAAGGAAGCAGTGTGTTTGAGGTTTGCCTTAAAATACGTCCACAGGTGTGCCTCCAGTTAACTCAAATGTTTCAATCAACCTATCAAAAGCTTCCAAAGCCATGACATCATCATCATCTGGGCTTTCTCAAACAGTTTGAATGCATAGTAATCTTAGTGCATGTAAACTTCTGACTTTGAAGAAAGCAGTAAAACATTATCTCTCTCATTGTGGCCTTTAGCAAATAGAAATCCATCCATTTTCTATACACCGCTTAATCCTCATTAGGGTCGCGGGGGGGGCTGGAGCCTATCCCAGCCGACTCTGGGCGAAGGCAGGGGACACCCTGGACAGGTTGCCAGTCCATCGCAGAGACAGACAACCAAGCACACTCACAGTCACACCTACGGACAATTTAGAATCACCAATCAACCTCAACATGTTTTTGGACTGTGTGGGAGAACATGCAAACTCCACGCAGAAAGATTCCGGTGCCCCCACCGGGACGCGAACCGGCAACCTTCTTGCTGCGAGGCAACAGTGCTACCAACTGCGCCACCTTGCAGCCCGCAAATAGAAATGATTTTGGTAATTCTAACTGACCTAAAACAGGAAAAGTTTAGTCTATAAGATAGTGAGGGGGAAAAAAAAGTTATATGTCTTTTTATGCAGTGTATGTAAACTTCTGATTTCAACTGTATGTGCTGGAATACTAAATACTTCAGTATATCACTGATTTCTGCTTTTCCTTTGATTTTTTATTTTTTTTTTTTTACAGTTAAAGCAGTTGAACACAAGATTAAATTGCTTTTCCTCACACTAACTTCAAAAACATATTCAAAAGCTAACTGCTTCATAAATTTACAATCAACACATTTATAAGGTAGATTATTCTAAACAAATGTTGCACATTTTGGTGTAAAGTCAGTCATAGCTGCTTAAAATAGTTGCAAATGTCAACTTATTTTCGTTCAAGTATCAAAAAACGTGCTGCACATCGTTTGTAACCTACACAAATATGCTTTTCTTATCATGTTTGTTCGCTAATGTGCGGTTTTGAGATGTTTCTGCGCTGTGTTTGAGCATAATAATTAAAACTCTGTAAGATAATCTTTGTAGGAGAACATGATGATCTTTGGATAGGCATAGCTTCCCATTTCTTCTTCTGTACTTCCCGTCACTGTAACCTGAAGTTACACAGAAATATTGCCTTGCATGCATGCAGGCATCACCTCAAAATGACGTGTGGTCTCATTTGTCATGTGGGGTTGATACATATACAAAAATGATGCAATGTTTCACAGCAATTCCTCCTTAGGCTATTTATGTATGTGTCACTGTGGCAAATGCTCATGGGATCCCCTTTTTACTTTATTACCTCGTGTTCACATGGCTTTGTTCTGCTTATACACTCGTGACTGAAAGTTGAACATTCTTACCTGACATTGCGTAGGCTCTTCCAACAAAAAAGGTTATTGAACTTTGCGGAGTCAATTTTCTGCCTGGAGTAGCAGACTTAAGACAAGACTCGATGCTGATTGTGTTAAGAAACAGTTTTAAAAATCTCATACAAACATAAACTTACACTCAGTTACCAGTTTACGACGTAATTGTCTTAGTTTTAATACATCATGGCTGCAATAAATTCTTACTTCCTGACGATTATGCCTGTTGTGCTGCAATGTTTTGTGAAAGCACCACATCTTGCTGATCTGTTGACTTACAATATGCCTTCTTATATATCACTAAATTAAATCTTGCATATCTGGCTTGTTTCGATTTTGTTATCTGCAACATTTAGGGGTCAAAGGGTTCAACTTCTTTATTATTCACTGTGGGGTTTGTGAGGTCGGGATCGAGTGCTTGGTTGTACACGTGTATATGGAAGAATATTGTTCCCATACATATGAATCAAACAAAAACACCTGAGACCGTATGGAAGAATTGGGTGTTTCATTTTCTAGCTGGTCAGCACACAGAATTTACACACAGAAAGATTGGTTTGAAAAGTGAGCAAAGAGAAATGTGAGTTTGTGAAAGTATCGTCATTACACGATTACATAAATGTTCTGCTCGTCTTCAACAGTTTTACGCCATTATCACCTAATTAAGAGAATTGAATCCTTGAATTACTACCTGTGATTATTTACACGTCACCTGAACATTTTCCTCATTTACATGCCCAGTCAGAACCCTGTAATTAGCACTAACCAGCCCTTTATTACCCTGCTGAGTTAGTAGTTACTGTCAAAACATGTTTTATGTAAGGAACTGTCTCAATACAAATGTGAGTAAACAGAACCATAAAAGAGAAACATATCACCTGCTGAGTATAAATCTCGTACAGTTTTGGCCGCTCTCTTGTGAGATTGGAGACAGACCTGCTGCTGTCAATCCAAGAGAAAGTACAGAATGTTCTTTATCAGAGTATCTATATTTAGATTTCCCTGTCTTTGGCCTGGGCTGCAAGGTGGCTCGGTGGTGAGCACCATTGCCTCGCAGCAAGAACGTCACCGGTTTGCGTCCTGGTGAGGACACCCAGGATCTTTCTGCGTGGAATTTTCATGTTCTCCCCGTGCAGCGCGGGTTCTCTCCGGGTTCTCCGGCTTCCTCCCACAGTCCACAAACATGCTGAGGTTAATTGGTGATTCTAAATTGTCCGTACATGTGAATGTGAGTGTGCTTGGTTGTCTATCTCTAAGTGTAGCCCTGTGATAGACTGGCGACCTGTCCAGGGTGTCCCCTGCCTTCACCCTGAGTCAGCTGGGATAGACTCCAGCTCCCCCTACAACCCTAGTGAGGATTAAGTGGTGTATAGATAATGGATGGATGGATATCTTTGGCCTAAAGTGAACCTTGTTGAGGCCTAAAAATGCACAAAGAAGCCTGGAGTGTGCTCTTTTACCCACACTGAACTGATGTGTTTCTTAGGGTCATGATATGTAAAGTGTATGCATGTCCCTGTCTCGTGTTGGTGCATTTCCAAGCTGAAAAATGGTCACATTCTTCTCAAGTCTCAGGCTGTGTGATGATGAAAGGGGCGACTGCTTAATTTCTTTCTCATTAGTGCATATTTACAAAAGTCAAGTTCATTTTATTGACTAAAATTTGAAGAAACCATTTAATTATTGATCTGACAGAGAAACTCTTTTCAGTCAGAGAGGACATACTGAAGTGTTTGACTGAGCTCCTCAGCACTTTGTTTCATTCAGATATATTTGCTAATCCCCCAAACTCTTGCAAATAAAGTAATGTGGGATCAGATTTTGTTTCGTATTGTTTTAAAATAATATTTTAATTTAATTTAGACTATCATTGTGTGCATCAAGGACAACTGGACATTCAAGTGCTGTCTTCTGATTCTAATGTCATTTTTCTTGGTAAGCCTTAACAGGAAGAGCAGCGCTCAAGTGACTCTCAGGTATTACACTGGTCATCTGGAAACACGGCTACTGCGCAGCCACGTTTCAAAGAGAGAGAGCGTAATCACATGCAAAACTAGCAAAACTAGAAATGTGTCTTACAGCTGAAACAGAAATAGTCCTTAGCTGACTCTATCACTATACCGCGTTAAGATCTAAGCTCGATGCGCGCACACCCTTTCTTCTCATTGGCTTGCAGTCAGGTGGAGTCGTGCGTACCGGTGGGTGGCGTTTGGAGTTCCCTGCAGACAAAACCCCGGTGCGCTCCTGCTGCTGCTGCCGCTGCTGCACCAAGTATCACACTGCTCTGTTAGGACTGATCTGCCGAAGGTATGGCAAACCCTGACAAACCCAGCAGTGCAATTGCGTTCGTCTATAGAGGAACATTTGTCCACTCGACCCAGCAAACAGCGCTGCAGGTCCTGGAAGATGCGCTCCTGGGAGTGGATACAGAGGGAAAGGTTTGTTCGACTCTTTAACATATCCAGAACAGATTTTAGTTTCATTTTAAAATATTCAGAAAGCTTCTCAATTGTATCCATCCTTTGGTGGGTGCATTTGCTTATTTGTAAATGAATACATGTCAAGCGGAGTGTGTATCTCCTGCTATGTTTTGCACAAAAAGGCAAAATGTGCTTCTGTTTGGCGTAAAAGACGCACGTCCTCCAAAGGAATAAGGCGTGAATCTGTTATATAATCCCTTAATTGAGTCCTACGGTGAGCTGTTGCTGAGCAACTTTGACAGGTTGGCCCATACAAACTCCTCAGGACAAAAAAAACCTTAATTACGTTCTCAAGTAGCCTCCTCAAGTAAGCTTACAATAGGTGAGATTGAAATTCACAGAGCATCGTTAAACCAACCCATGAGAAAGAGATTTTAAATGTTGTGTAAAGATAAGAAAAAGCAGCATGCTGACTTTGTACAAATCAATGTGGTTATTAATGAAGTGGGCAATGGCAAGAGCTGCCCATCAGCAGCATCATGTCAAGGTGGTCCTGCACACAGACTCTCACATAGAACATCTTTGACCTCTTACAGAAGCTGTTAATGAATACATATATGCTAAATCATAATAGTATGCTGTAGTTTGCTCTATTTCTGTTCCCTGTCTTTTATCTTTAAGCCTGAAAACATGAGGACAAAAGACAGCCCCATTACGTTGACATGTATAATGCGTTCAGCTCTCACAGCTTACTTTATGGTACAACACTTCATTATGATCACATTTTGTTCCAGCAACTCACAGCTGATTTCCATTCTGCCACCAGATTGCTTTCATTGGGGAAGGCAAGCAGTTGGAAAAATTGTCCAAGATCTTTGGATTCAGCACATCTGAAGTCACGCAACTCACAGAACAGTAAGTACAACATATAAAAAACTCCTGAATATATAGATTTTGTTTTTTATAGTAGATACAGGCCTTGATAAGAATGACAGTCAGTCAGAGAGTAACACTGTTTGCAGATGTTGTTTTACAGATGTGACCACAAATATTGGCAACACATGAACGTGCATGTTGGTTGAAGTTATTCTTTTTTTATGGCATACACTCAAAAAAATGCTTGATTAAAAAATAACTCAACCTCAAGATCACTGCTGAGTAATGCAGAGCACGCTGGGCTGGTTTCAACAAAGTGCTTGTTGGGTTGTTCTTTTTAACCCAACCTAGTGAATGAAAATTGTCTCTCTTCCTGATTTTAATATGTAAATTAACCCAATTGCTTTGGTTAATTCCTGTCTGATTCATGTTTGTAATCAAATCAAAGACCTACCACAAAATCCTGCCTGTCTTGTGGAACAAGTTTCAACCTCTTTGAACCAGCATGAGCAACCCAACCATTAAAAGTCTGTTGTTTTTTTCCACATAGGAGTTTACAGAAACAACCCAGCACTTTTTTTATGTGTAAATAACTTTTATTACTTGCTACACTGCAGTGAATTCGTAATGCCAGGACTGGTAGACACCCACATCCATGCATGCCAGTACAGCTACGCCGGCACAGCCCTGGACCTGCCCTTGCTGCAGTGGCTTAATACCTACACCTTTCCTGTGGAATCACGCTTCAAGGACTTGGAGTTTGCACGTCAGGTCTACACTCGAGTAGTGGTGAGTTTGCCAGTATCGTGAAATAAGGGGCATTCAGAATTTGCATAGGTTGAGCTTTGTGACTGAGACGCAGCAGAGCCAAAACTGAGCTTTGCTGCAGTGTGAGGATAGTAGTGATAATATGTTTATGATGTTGTAAATAGCATTGTAATTTGCACAGTTGCAAAATTTCCATTGCGACACAGCATATGATCTGAGAAGCGTGTGAACAGTTCAGAGGATTAACAAGAGCATAGGAAAGAGAAACCGTGTTTGAGTGTCATCTTAATCCTGTAACACAAGCCATGTTCTTTACAGAAAAGGACCCTGACAAACGGAACAACCACTGCATGTTACTTTGCTAGCATACATACAGACGCCTCCCTGCTGCTGGGTCAGATTGCAAGTAAGATGTCCTACACTCAAACATACAGACAAACACCAACACTTTGACCTAAAGCTTTATGTTTGAGCACTGGCCCTCTTCTGTGTTTTCTACCTGTAACATGGACGTGAGCTTCGAAAGTGAAGTGTGTGGTTTTGTGAGATAATTAAATGAAACGCTGACATCATCATCTGTTTCTTAATGTAGGTTCTAATTGTAAAATCCATCCTACAGTTTTTAATTATCATTAAAGCAGCAGATATTTGTAGAAACAACTGAAGGCTGTGCGTCTAATGATAAGTTGTTGTTCAAAAAGTGAATAAAACTGGAAAAAAAATACCAGTAATTTCAGTTTGCTTTCACACATTACACATTATGAATTGCTCCTGTTTTTCTAAACTCTATAAAAACAATATGGTCCTTCACTGTTATGCTTGGTCCCTATTATCATGGTGTCATATTGCACAACACTTAACACACAGTCACTTGAATGTGTGATTGTAGTGCCATATTAAATGGAAAACTGGCTCAAGCAGCTTCACACAGTCATTCTGTTTGACCAGGGTCACTGAACTCTCAACTTTGTCCTGTTCAGAGCCGATGATCCTTTTTTGAAAAGAAACTGTTTAACTTGAGCACATTTGAGTACTTCAGGCACATATATTTAAAATTCATACTTCATTCCTTCACTTGTGTGTGTTGGAGTGATTGGTTAGCTGCATTAAAAAAAAAAGATGACACATATACAAAATCCAGTGTACTGTATTTGTTCATGTAAGAATCTTGTTAGGTCCAAAGTTCAAGGCAGAGTCAGAGGGGAATATGACATAAACACACACACACACACCCTCTCCCAACCACACGCCATTGGTACGGTCAACTTTCAGTCTGTTAAAGTGACAGCATTCTGTCACTCAGACATTTGTCATTTTTCAGTTCAGCTTATATCACTTAATGTACGTGATATTTCTTACAAGATTTGACAGAGCATTAAATGGTGTATAACAATATCATATTAATAAAAACCACAAGACTACATCCAAACCAATATCAAGTTTATCAAACTGTCCAATTAACAGCCTATTTTTAGTTATTCCCTGATCACTGACAAATTCAATAATAATACAATGACTGCTTTCAAAACAGTAAAATAGAATAATCCTGACAGTCAGATGAAGCTCAGGACTCAACCTAAGGATGACCACTAGGTAACAAATGATTTACCTGTCACTAGTAAACTGTAACTCTGTGTGTGAGACAGCCCACCTGTTAAATAAAAAACAACCAGCACTGTTGTTCCACGTGCTCCTATGGATGTTGTTTAAAGCTGCAGCTATTTAATAAACTCAAATGTAAGAGCCTGCAAACAGCCAGAAGCAACAACTTAACTTTAGCTCCTGTTAATGTCTTGGGGAAAAAGCTGAGTGTTGTTAATCTAAGCTGCAAGACTCTTTTTCTGAACATCTTCGTTTTAGTAGATGTGAAATTGTAGATCAAAATCAGTGAGAATGCTGTTTTGGGATTTTGGTATTCTTTTGCTCACTGAAATGTGAAAAAGTCTTCTCTACATCACTTCACGCAACTTTAAAGTACGTTGCTTGTCAATCTGTTAATGTGACAGGTTGTAGTTCAGACTTTTGTTGTGCTTTAAGTGATAGATGTTACTAGGTCCTATTCCTAGTAAGCTTGCTTTTGTCACTTTCAGAGAAGAGTAACCATGAGGCAGACGGTTGCTGAAGCAGCAGGTCTGTGCTCAGTTGCTGTCAGATGAATGGAAAGGAGCGCATGCCTAAAAAGGGCTTATATATGTCAGAAAAATGTTCAAAGATTACCTTGTCCTCAGTTACCATGACTGTGTGCGCCTTTGTTTTTGACATTTTTTGCTGTACTAAAAGATAATTTATAGAAAAGACCCTGCACATCCACATAGATGGCTTAATTCATTTTAGCCAACAGACCTTATTCACAGCAGACACTGTTTTGTTACAGCAAGAGTCGCACAACTGAAAAAAATGTCATTAACAAGCGATCAGTTCCATTAAGTATGATGGTAGGTAAAAAGACCTGTGCAGCTTAGATTTAATGATACTCAGCTTTTTCCAGAAGACATTAACAGGAGCTAAAGTTAAGTTGTTCCTTCCAGCTGTTTTCAATCTCTTTCTTCTGAGTTTTTAAAATACGTGCAGCCTCAAACAGCAGCATGATCCGTATAAACGTCTCCAAAGAGAGAGTTGTGCGCATTTATGGAACAGTGGGACGACAGTGAGCCAACATATACAATACCAGCACCAGTGAACCCGTGAAGTTCACCTCAATGGATTGCAGTTTATTTTGTTATCATTTATTCCTGATCTTTTCCTGCTGTGACGATTCAAAATGTCTGCTGTAATCAGCTGCTGTAAACCTCTAATCAGATTGACGATAAGGATGAAAAAAGTGTTATTTGTTTCAACCTCGTGCCAGTGTGATGATGAACAAGCACAGACTGGACACGCCCATCCAGTCCTGAGGATAACAAGCTAAACTAAGTCAAATCACCCGTGTCGTGGGTGTTAAACACGTCTGTGTCCATGAATGAAAAATTGTACTGTGGTTAATAATAATGGAAAAAGAAGGCCCAGTGTTTGGGCTGCAGTGAATCGCTACTTCTGTCATGTCATTGCTGTGGATTTAGCCTGAAATGTTCCACGGGGACATTTTCATAATAGGAAAAGCACACGTGTAAGTAACAGCTTTAATTAAGGCCGTGTGTCACTGAGCTGTCCAAGTGCCAGGCCTCTGGACAGGTTTCTTATTTCATATTAACTAGAAACGACCATGTCACTCTCAAACCTTCTGTTTCATTCATTCTTTTTTTTTTTTTTTTTTCGTGCAGATGACTTGGGACAGCGTGCCTTGGTGGGAAAGGTGTGTATGGACAGGAACGATTTTGTAAAACATTACAGAGAAAACATTCAGGAGTCTCAGGATGAAACCTGTCGGTGGGTATCAGCTGCTTAAAACGGTTTATAGCAGATGGAGTGTGTTGAAAGGAGTTTATGCATGTGCAGACTTTGTATAGTGTGTATGTGTGATATGGTGAAACGGCATTGAAAACAACAGTGTTTCAAACATAGACTGTATAAAAGATGGACGTAGCTACAGTGACATCACCCGTTGGTTTCTGCACTGAGAAAATGAAGCCAGGGTTTTGCTGCTTCCTGGTTGACATCTTGGATTTTTGGAGCCAGTGACGCAAAAATCATCGGATAGGGGCAGGACCATAGGAGTAGCGATTGGTGAGACGGATTGAGATTTACCGCCTTCTGCTCGCTTCGTCTGTATGGTTGCTGCCAACTGTCAATCAAGCCAGCCATGCCCCTTGCCCCGCAAAATGTTGACGATTTTTTAAAAATTCAGTATTGATTTATTTTCAGATTGGCCACCTGATCTCTGGACTTGACCATGAAAGCCAATAAGAAAAAAATCCTGAGCTGTAGGAATGCGGTATTTCGTGATCTGTGATCACTTTTTTTCCATTTCAAGTCTATGGGAGCCAGGGCTTTTTGGAGCCAGGACTAGCGGACGTAGTGATATTGCAGGTTTTTGACACTTCCGGGTTGGCTTCATTTTTCAGGGCCGGTTGCTACGTCCATCTTTTATACAGTCTATGGTTTCAAACAGCATTAAACAGGACATAAGGCTTGTTTGTGCCCTACATATTAACATTACGAATAGATTATTCAACAGTGTAATGCTGGGAATTCTATTTGAACAGAGAGAATGAAGATGATTAGTGACAGAATGATTATTAGTATGTAGATGTAGCCTGAGGCAGTAAGTGAGGTTACACTGAATTCTTTCAAAGTGTGTCAAAGAAGAAGCAGTTTTCACAAGATAAGACAAGACAAGATAGAGCTGTATTAGTCCTTTAATTAGGATTAATCACCTGCATGTATAAACTAAATAGAATTTGTTGTGAAAAATGTTAATAATTGCTGTATTTGTTTTGCCTCAAGGTTCATTGAAGAGTTCTTAAACAAGAAGGTGAGACCCTTTAATACAACAAACAGAACATTAAACACCTGTAGCATAACAGCTGTTATTTAAAATGGTTTTAATTGTCTGTTTCTCCCTGTCTCCTTTGTCTTTCTTTGTATTTCTGGGGAGCATCCTTCAGTACCCTCTTGCGAAGCCAGTGGTGACTCCCCGATTCGCTCCATCCTGCTCAGGAGAACTGCTTGAACAGCTTGGAGAAATCGCTAAGAATAACAACCTGCACATTCAGGTGAGTTTGCTGTGGCAACGACAGCAGGCACCACAGGAGACTGTTTCCATAGAGACAAATTATTATTTGGCCTGTGAGAGTTTTGAATGATGAAAAAAGAAAAAAAACATGCAAGTATCGCAGAACAGCATTTGACATTACTTTTCCTGGAATATCTAAATTGACAAGTGAATGTCTGACACATGAGTCTTCTGCTTCTAGAGTCATATCAGTGAAAACAAGGAGGAAGTCCAGCTGGTAAAGGAGCTGTTTCCAGAATCAGAGTCTTACACAGATGTCTATCACAAATATAACCTGCTCACTGACAAGGTGAGTGCAAAATCACATCCCTGCTTGCATACAAGATCCAGTCTGCATGCTGTTAACAACTGATATTATTCATGATGGGGATGATTCACAGACAGTGATGGCCCATGGCTGCTACCTCAGCGATAAAGAGTTGGCTGTGTTCAGAGAGACAGGAGCCTCTTTGTCCCACTGTCCCAGTTCCAACTTTTCGTAAGTCTCTGATCGTTTCTCAGAACTATATGTGATCAAAGAACATGTACATTGGTCCATCAATATGGACCACTCTTCTATACATCTTATGATCAACGCCCTGCAGTGTAATATATAATTGTAAATGATTGTTTCCAAAGATAGGCGCCATATGACGCTTTATGGATCCATGTAGTAAAATAAAGTTTCAGTTTCACTGCAAGTGGGAAGGTATTTGCATTTACAAGAAAAGCCAACAGAATGCTATAAACAGTCCTAAATGACTTGAATCACCTAGCAGTAAAATAATAAACTGCACAGTAATTCTTATCATCTGTCACTTCATGTGCAGGTTGTGCAGTGGAGTGTTAAACGTCCGCAATGTCCTACAACACAAAGTGAAACTGGGGCTGGGAACAGGTGAGTACGCATTTTTAAGTCATAGTGTTGCCAGACCACCTATAAGGAAGGTTGTTTTTTTACACTTTAAAGAAATATTAAAATGATGTTTGTTAACTTGGCTTTGTTGAGGAAACTCTCAAGATTGCTGCAGCAGTTATATTGGTACTAGGACAGTGTTACATAGTTCTCTGTTGTTGCAGGTCTTAGTCATTTCTGAGTTTTAGTCATTGCAGTCAGCTGAGAGGTTTGGCCCACAGGTCAGCTCACTACCAGATGATTACTGCAAATCAAAAACAGCAAATTTCAGGCCTCAGAAATGTGACAATGTGAAATGCGTGTTTTTCATATCAACGGTACATATTTGTGATTTGTTTTCATCTGACCCTCTCGGTCTGTGTTTGCGTCAGACGTGGCCGGAGGCTACTCTGCCTCCATGCTTGATGCTGTGAGGAGAACTATGGATGCATCCAAAGTTTTGACCATCCAGGACCCAGAACACAAGGCACTCACCTTTGAGGAGGTGTTCAGACTGGCCACGCTGGGAGGCAGCCAAGGTGAGACACAAAACCAGCTCAGAAACAGCAACATTGCACTGAAAAATGTAAATGTTCAGTCCATTTGTGGTCTTATTCTCCACCAGCAGCCACTTTTCTTGCTGAAGTGTCTTTACTAACGCTACATGTTAGACTGTTGCAGCAGAAATGCCTGATTCAATACGCACACTGTGCGTTTGAGATATTTTCAATGGTGACCGATCGCAATTTTATAGGACAGTAGAGAATACAACAGTTTCTTTTATGATGGGTTTTGTCTGCAGCCTTGTCACTGGATGACCAAACTGGGAACTTTGAAGTGGGCAAAGACTTTGATGCCCTGAGGGTGAATGTAGCTGCTCCTGGTGGCCCCATCGACCTGATCCATAGTGAGGGACCAAAGGTTGGTAGTGAGTCCATCTATTTAGACACCAGTAAAAGCAAAAACTCTTGCTTCAGCTAATTTATTATCATTTCAATTTCAGACTCTTTTGGAAAAGTTCTTGAACTTGGGTAAGTGTCTCTTTAATTTTATTTGTCCAAACATTACAGATTCTAATTTGCCATTTACTTTACGTTTGCTTCTCTTCCTTGCTCTTTGACAGGCGATGATCGTAACATAGTGGAGGTGTTCGTCGCTGGGAGGAGGGTGGTGCCGTTCATAGAGCCAACAGCAGAGTAAACTGTTTGCTCCTCCCTAAATCTTCACCTGTCTCAAAGCCCAAAATACTTGTGTATCTAAGAGATACAACAAACTGCATGTTGCACAAGAATGGCTGAAAATGCTCCGTGGCTACATGAGCTGCATCATTGCACAAGTAAGAAATTAATTATGACCGTAAACATTTTAAATGCAGAGGGTAGAACCGATGATGCAGCTCAACGAGGATGATACAAGAATGAGGTCAGCTGAGCTTGATTTCATTTTGGTCCACAAGTCTTTAAAGATAATAGACTGACTTCAAAGCAGCCGCTTTGACATGGCATAGTGGGTAAACAGAGGTGTTAAAAAGGGAAGCAGGAACTTATTACGTGCTGTGAACTTTGCACTTTTTCATTTAATTAGCACTTGCTGAATAATAAGCCACTTTTTTTTATCTCCTCTTTGTTCAGGTACACATCAGATTTTTAAAAATTTTCTTCGACTGGTAAGTTAAACATATTAAATAAACAAAGATACAAAGAGTGATGTTGGCAGCCTTTGCAGTGTGTTAAATACAACATGTTTTCCATTGCGTGTTGATATTTCAGTGTGGCTAAACATAAGTAACATAAATGTGGGACTTGGTGTGGGTGATGTAAAGCTAGCTCAGTGTGGCTGCAGTGCCTGACCTGATTATCTGCAGTGGCTTGACGGTCTCATTTTCATGCTTGTGTAGCAGGAAAATGTGATCCAAAGGCTGGAACTGATTTGAGTTCTAACCGTTCAGTTTTGTCACTGTACACTCCATCCAAGTACATCCATTAAAGTGTTTAAAATGGCACAGGCACATGATTATATAGCGTTCTCCTGACTGCAGTTGTCCTATTCACTGCTGCAGGTCACAACGTTCAGTGCAATACACAACACAAGCCATTCCAGGAGGAGGACAATATGTATAATGTGAAATTAATCAGTACTGACACTTGGTTGATTTACCTCAGATTCAACATTCTGATTTGACTCAGTGAAAAGCAACTTTGGTGCCTTATTGTGAGAATCAGTTTGTTATATGGACCTTTAATTTGAACATCAATTACAATTCAAATGGTTGTACGACTGAGATGTTTGATTTTAGGGACTGTTACGTTACCTTTAAAAACTCTCATTTAATTGCTATGAAATGAAGGATAATTTAGCTGAATGTGCATTTGCTTTGATAAATAGTGTATAGGACAACTTTACTTTTGTACTGAAAACATGGAACATTTTTATTATCATATATCACAGTTTAACAAAAAAAAAAATGTCAATGGTAAAGCTTGTGCTTTGTACTATTTGATATGTTGCATCATGGCAGATTGAAATAAAGAATACCACCAAGCCTGTTTTATGCTGTTTATCTTCCTTCTGCTTTTATTTGTCTGATGTGATCAATGATAATAACACAGGATGTATTTGAGAAATGTGGAGGAACTAAATGCTCTCTGACCCTTCCAGCCCACTAACAGGCCAGTTTACAGCTCCTTTAATAGACAGTCTTGACCATCTGGACTGGACAGCTCAGCTGGCAGAAGACATAAAGACTTCTGCTCCACTTTAAATAGACCATTACAGGTTTTGCACTGACGTGAAGAGGTCATGACGACAGTCACAGCCTCTAGAGGGGGACACTGTACTTCACACACACACACACACACACATACAGTTGAAACCAGAAGTTTACATACACTGTATAAAAAGACATACAACCTTTTTTTTCTCACTGACATTAAATCAAGCTAAACTTTTCCTGTTTTAGGTCAGTTAGGATTACCAAAATTATTTCTATTTGATAAACACCAGATTAATGACAGAGAGAATTTTTTTTGTTACTTTCTTCAAAGTCAGAAGTTTACGTACATTTCCTTAGTATTTGGTAGCATTGCCTTTAAACTGCATGACTTGGGTCAAACGTTTTGAGTTTCTTTCCACAAGCTTCTCACGATAGATTGTTGGAATTCTGG